AGCTGGGTCTGAACAGCACCTGCGATGACAGTATCCTCGTCAAGACCGTGTGCGGGGTGGTGTCCAAAAGGGCCGCGCAGCTGTGTGGCGCAGGCATGGCTGCCGTGGTGGACAAGATCCGCGAGAACAGAGGGCTGGACCGTCTCAACGTGACTGTGGGCGTGGACGGGACGCTCTACAAGCTTCATCCGCAGTGAGTGGGCCTTCCAGGGGGATGGGAGGAGCCCTTCAGGGTTACAGGAAAGCGGGGTATGGGTCCCACCAGCATCTGCCTCCCCAGGGCGCAGCGTCCAGGGGCCGTGGCTTGTCTGGGACGAGGTAGTGAACCGCTCTGGGGTTTGACTGGCACCCTCAGCGAGGCAGAGAAGTGGCTGCCGTTGGCCGGCCTTGGCCAGCACATGGCATGACCTTGCTCTGTGCCTCCTGGGCCCCTCTTAGGTGGGGTGGGCAGTGGGAGAGGGGGTAAGGGTGGCCAGGGGCTTGCCCACCGGCCTGGCTAGCTGTGGCCATGCCAGAGGCTGTGCTTGGTACATGGGGAGGGACAGTAAGAAAGGAAGAGGAGGGCTATTGTCTTGTTCACCAGCAGAAGCAGGGTTTGCCAAGCCCTGGAAGGGCAGGAGCAGTTTGGCCCTGGGCTTTGTGGCTGGGAGGGGGTGGGAGTGGCCTCCTTTTGGTCGCATGTCTGACACCCCACCCCATACAGGTGACCCTGTTTGGGTCTGCTGTATGATCCACTGCATGACTCAAAGCTTGGTTCTTATGAACAGAGCATCCATATTATTTATTGTCTAAACTGTAGTACTTTTGCCAGTGAAAAGGGTGCTGTTAATAATTACTCTGAGACTTATAGACAAGCTGGGACCATCCCAGATAAACTGGGCCGTAGCATCACCCTATGTATTTATTTATAAGCAACCTCGCCCAAAGGCCGTGGCGTGGGATAGGACCATCTCTCCTGCTCCGTCCCACCTCTGTCTCTCCACCTCATCACTGTCCTCACCGTTAAGTGAGCAGCACAGGGGCGTGGCGTAGGGCCCGGCTTTGGAGCCCCCTACTCTTGGATTTAATCCTGGTACTGTCGTTTAGAAGCTGTGTGCAGTTGTTTAATCTCTGCAAAATCCTGTCTTCTTCATGGATGACCACCACTGGCAGGACTAGAAATTAGGTCTTTAAAGTACGGGCCCGGCGAGGTGCCTCACGCCTGTAATCCTAGCACTCTGGGAGGCCGAGACGGGCGGATTGCTCAAGGTCAGGAGTTGGAAACCAGCCTGAGCAAGAGCGAGACCCCGTCTCTACTATCAATAGAAAGAAATTATTTGGCCAAATAATATATAGAGAAAATTATATATAGAGAATAATATATAGAGAAAAATATATAGAGAAAATTATCTGGGCATGGTGGCGCATGCCTGTAGTCCCAGCTACTCAGGAGGCTGAGGCAGGAGGATTGCTTGAGCCCAGGAATTTGAGGTTGCTGTGAGCTAGGCTGACGCCACGGCACTCACTCTAGCCTGGGCAACAAAGCGAGACTCTGTCTCAATCAATCAATCAATCAATAAATATATATATATATATATATATATAAATAAAGTATGGAGCACCCAGTAGGTACTCAGAAAAGGACTGTCAATATTTCTGAGAACCCGTTGCCTCAAGCATCTGCAGCTTGGCCTGGTCTTTCATTTTTCAGCACAAAATGCAGGCACCTGGAGTCACCTCGTTTAGAGACTACCCGCCACTGGAGGGCTCTTTGGGTGCCGGGCTGTTGATGGGGGCGGGTGGGCTGGGGGCCTCAGCGGGCTGCGGCTGGGGGTGGGTAATGGTCGCTCCAGCGTGGCCCCCTGGACCGACCAGTGCACCTGCCACGGGCTTTTGCCCACATGAACCCACTGCAACATCGAAAAATCCCAAATCAACCCTCACAGGCCGGGACCGTCTATGCTTCAGTGTTTTCGGGTGGGCCTGGCGTCTCCTCCCATCTTCTTGCTCCACCTACCTTCTCTTCTGTTTCTGTCCTCTTCAGCTTCTCCAGAATCATGTACCAAACCGTGAAGGAACTGTCACCGAAGTGCAACGTGTCCTTCCTCCTGTCGGAGGACGGCAGCGGCAAGGGGGCTGCCCTCATCACGGCCGTGGGCGTGCGGTTACGCGGAGAAAAGAGCAGCTAAGAGCCCGGGACGCCCGGCCTGCTGTCCCTACAGCACTTCTCTCTTCGAGCGGCGACCCCTGCCCCTCCCAGTGAGCCGTGCTGGGAGACGCCGGCGCCTGCCCGAGCCCGCCTCGGCCACGACAGGGAGGACAGCAGAATCCAACTAATGGCGCATAATGTAGGGTACAAAATAGAGTGTGTGCTGTTGATAATATCTCTCACCCGGATCCCTCCGCACCTGCCCTTGCCACTCTGCATGATTTGATTGCGACCTGGTCCCCACGTGTGGCGTGCAGTGGCATCCATTTCTGCTGTGTGCATTCATCCAGCGGAGTTATTTATTGGCTCGACGTGGAAAGTCACACCACCAGACAGGCCTTCTGGGTCTCTGCAGCCCGTCCTTGGGGTCAACTCTCCCCCCCCCCCCAAATCCCCCCGTGTGAAATGTATTATCACCAGCAGACACTGCCGGGACCCCGCCCAGGGGCATGGCCTGAAGGCGAGTGTGGACATAGCATTAGCCGCTTCCTCCCGTCCCAGCACCCACTGCGGCCTGGCGTCCCGCTGGGATGTGTCAATGCCACTGAATCGTGTGTCCGTGGAAGCAGTCCTAGCCGCGTGTGACAGTCTTGCATTCTGTTTGTCTTGTGGGGGGAGGTGGGCAGTCCCGAGGGAAAATGTCTTGTCTCCATTTGGGTAAAAGGAACCAACCAATGACCTATGCCATCAGCAGAAGTTCCCATCGCTTTCGTGAGCCATGTTGTATGACCTAGTAAACTTTGTACCAATTCAAAGACCCGAGTGGTGCTTCGAGGCTGGGGGTCTGGGTGGGGAGGCTGTCTAGGGGCATGGCGAAAACCAAACGTTGGGGGTTCTTGGGGCCTTCTGGGTGGGGGAGAGAGTTTAAAATAAAGAGTATCATCTTCAGCCGGCAGCCTTGGTTTGGTACGGGGACTTCTGTGCCCTCCCTGCAGAATGTCACAGAAGCAGCCTCTTGCTGTATGTCCACTGCCTGTCCCGCTGGGTCCCTGCCCAAGTCCCGGGTCCCACTCCATGGGGAGGCTCCTCGGCTTCCACCCCAGCTCCTTTAAGAGGGTCAAGAACGGAGGGCCTCTGTCCTGCTCGCTCGTAGCTGGGACAGAGAAAAAGAAAAGGTCTCTTTTGGGTTTAATGAGAGGACACTGCAGTGTTGTCCCCACCACCAAGACCCACCTCTAAGACAGCGGATAAAGCGTGCTTCATTGCCCTTAAAGCGCCCAGGGCAGCAGGCTTGCCGCACTTGCCCACTCCCCGATTGTAACCACTTCGGTACGAGCGTCCACTGTAGTCCACAGCCACAGATGAACGCACACAGCGACTTTAGCCAACAGCCACAAGCTTTTACTTTTGCAGCTTTATCTCTGCAGTTGCAGTGTGTACGTTCAGCTAATAAGTTACTAGCTTACTAGCTAATAAGTTACTGTGACCTTTTTTTTTTTTTTGGCATGCACAATTAAGTATTTAGATTATTAATCTTTTCAGATAAGTAAACTCAATGGAATACTGGAGTGATCCTGATGCAGCCCTCTGGTTTTGGATACTTCCTAGGTCAGGAACTTTAAAACTGCAAAATCAGAAAACTCCATCGCTAAACAAGTCTAATTGTGAGAAAGATCCTTGAGCAAACCTATACAAAAGTGCCTTCCAGGCCGGGCGCTGTGGCTCACGCCTGTAATCCTAGCTCTTGGGAGGCCGAGGCGGGCAGATTGCTCAAGGTCAGGAGTTCAAAACCAGCCTGAGCAAGAGCGAGACCCCGTCTCTACTATAAAATAGAAAGAAATTAATTGGCCAACTGATATATATATTAAAAATTAGCCGGGCATGGTGGCGCATGCCTGTAGTCCCAGCTACTCGGGAGGCTGAGGCAGAAGGATCACTCGAGCCCAGGAGTTTGAGGTTGCTGTGAGCTAGGCTGACGCCACGGCACTCACTCTAGCCTGGGCAACAAAGTGAGACTCTGTCTCAAAAAAAAAAAAAAAAAAAAAAAAAGGGCCTTCCAGGAATTTCCATGTTTTTAAACTTTTCCTGACATTCTGATTCACAAAATAGTGTGTCTTATCTTTAGGAGCTCTTCAAGTATCCTCTGGGGTGGGCATGGTGGCTTGTGCCTGTAATACCAGCTACTTGGCAAGCTGGGGCAGGAGGATTTTTTGAGTCCAGGAGTTTGAGACCAGCCTGAGCAACATAAGGAGACTTCATTCCCCATCAAATTGGTTTTAACTGATCAACACTTAAGTGCACATATAGTAGTAACAGTCATCGGGTGTCGGGCAGATGGGAGGCGGGAAGAGAGGATGGGTATATTCACACCTAATGGGTGTGGTGCACACCATCTGGGGAATGGACACACTTGAAGCCCTGATTCAGGTTGGGCAAAGGCAATATAGTAACCCAAACATTTGCACCCCCATTATATGCATGTGTTCTCTGTAGACAATTGATGCATGGTGCAATCTATGCAGCATCTTCATTAGTGAGCTAAAAGAGGGTGTAAATAACACCACACTAATGATATTCACAGATGATAACAGATTGGAAACTGTCTCTCTGACACCACTGTTGAGTGTGAAGTCACAACAGGGAGGCAAAATATATATCCACACTGTCTCTTCCCTTCTCGTCTGCACAGAGAGATCCGAAAAGCATCACAGACCCGAATCTGTGACCTTTTAACAAGTTCTTAGTAGGAGTTGTTATAGTTATTTTCCTAAAGCTGCCTATAAAGTAAAACAAGCTTTCAGTGCTTTAAAGCTTTCCTCATCACACAAGAGCAAAACGGATTCGTGGTCAATGCACAGCACAGACTATCGTGCGGACTGTGAGTGCCGGCTGTGGGCAAGGTTTCTCGGCCGGTGAGTGCCGGATCGAAGCGGTTAAACTATCTGACCCCTTTGACCTCCCCCCACCCCCACCTCGAGATTGCTGGCTGTCTCCTGGCTGCTATTTTGGGGTCCATTTTGGTGGACCCCACATCAGGCTGCACTCAGGTGCCCCGAGATGTCCCAAGGCATGACTGCAGCTCTAAGTGGCTCCCCCCAGGCCTGCCCACTTGGATGGGTGAGATCAGAGTCCCTTTATGTGGGGCATGGTGCTGCTGGTGTCTGGCACAGTGGTGTTTGTGGAGAACACAGACACCAAACTTTTCGATGTGTGTAGACCGTGTTACGTGGTTCTGGAGGGGCGCTGAGGCGTGGAGGGCGAGTCGGCGGACAGGGAGAGGTGCACCCTTGGCGAGGACTGGGCCAGGCCTGGAGTTTTCTGGGAGTTGGAAAGAAAGCGTTCTCTGCCCACCAGCTTCTTGTTGCAGAAGTGAGGGCAGGAGCTGCATTGCTGTTTTGTAGGTGGCTTCTGTGTAAAATAGCCGGTGTGGCAGTAATGAAAGTCACGGCTGTCATTCAGTGAGCACTTAATCTGGTCTGGCCTGCTGGTTTGAAGACATCACTGCCATGATCTTGCCAGCATCCCTGTGAATTGAGTTTCGCCATTGGGCTGAAGAAGATGCTGAGGGTCAGAGTGACTTGGCTGAGGACATACAGCTGACTTTTGACTCTTAGTCACCATCTGCACTGGGCTGCATCTGACTTCTTAGATATTGAGGCAGAGAAGCTCTGGGATGACTCACAGCTGTTGGGCTTTGTGAAACAAAAAAGCTGCTTTCATTGTCTTTTGCCTGATAATGAGTCAGTGCCATGGTTTCATGCTGCCCACAGGTATGTTTTGTTCAGCTTACCCAAAATTTGCAAAAATGTGAGCCAAATGTCACAGATCTGGAGGTCTCACAAATTTGGATTACCAGCTTCTCTTGAAAGATTTATATCTGGCGACAACGGGCTGCCATTACCACGTGGCAGCATGTGTCCAGAGCTGAGAAGCTGCTGTCCCCTTTGGATGCCTGTCCACTCGGGTTGCCACAGCCCCCACCATTCCCTGGCACCTCAACACTGAGACTAGAAGTCAGTTGCCTGCTGTCATCACATTTGCAGTCTTTTTTTATACTGGATCCAGTGTACTCATTGGAAGTTGTATGCCCCCAGGAAGGCGTTTGAACATGCAGCTCCTAGGTTAGATAAATATTGGCTCATGCTGTCTGTTCTGACTCTTGTCGGACGCCTCAAAGTGCTCCCTGAGACGGGCGGCTTGAGTCCTGTCGTAGCCAGCATTCTTTGTTGAGTTCCTGGCCCCATCTTGGTTTTTCCATTGGTGTATGGAAGGATGGGGCATAGGCCACACCCTTTCAGATCTGATACTCTTGGGCTACTTCTCAAAGGGTGCTGAGCCTCATCCTGCAGCCAGACACAGGGTGTCAGGGTTCAGCCGTCACCTGTCTTAGTCCCTCTGGTGTTGCTACAACAGGGTACTGGGTAGTGTACAAAGAAAAGAGGTTTATTTGGCTCACGATTCTGGCTGGAAAATCCAGGATTGGGCAGCTGCATCTGGGGAGGGCCCCAGGCTGCTTCCACCGGAAGGGGAGTGGGTTGTGCAAAGAGATCCCATGGTGAGAGAGGAAGTGAGAGAAGGAAACTGAGGAAGCCAGGCTCTTTTGTAACAACCTGCTATTTTGGGAACGAATCTGTTCCCACCAGAGTGAAAGAACGCTGAAGGGTACTAATCTATCCATGGGGGATCTGCCCCCCTGACCCGGACGCCTCCCACTGGGTCCCACCTCCCGATGCTGCCACATGGGAGAATCAAGTGTCAACATAAGTTTTGGTGGGGACAGACCAACCGTATCCAGACCACAGCAGCATCCCGTCTTGGGGACCCCCAGCCTCCTCGTTGGTAGCCTCGGAGGGGGCCACATCCCCAGCCATGAACAGAGTCTCTTTGGTGTGACACCTGTTGACCCTGGCGGAGAGGGACGGAATGTGAGTCAGCTCCAGCTTGTCCTCCTCTGTGGGCGTGACCCAGGGGCAGCAACGGAAGGCAAGCCGGAATCCAGAGCGGAACCTGGGGATGGAGGGTCACCTTGAGCAAGGGCGTCAGAGTCCAGCGGCTGCTCCCCTCCCCCCAGGACACCATCTCCGAATTGTCCCACCCCACTTTGCAGAGCCCACCACGGCTCAGGGGCTCTGGAGAGGTGCATTCTTTAGCGATTTTGATTTTGGGAAACGGCAAAAATATTCTGAAGTGGGTGATTCAATTGAATTAGACTATTTGTTATTATTTATTTTTAAAAAAGAAACCAAGTGGAATTATAAAGAAACAGCAGATTTTCTTGTTTGACTTGTTAACTGGCTTCTAGAGGAGGACTCAAGGAGGAGGCTGTTTGAAAACACTGGGGCTTCGGCAGGGTGGGCGGAAGAAGGATGCTGCCCCAAGGAAACTGCTCTGAAAGAGAACTCGCGTACGGAGCTACCAAGTTTTGGTGCGTTTGCGTATAAAATGGACAGCCTCTCATGGCAGCACTGAAGGTCTGTGAGTGGACCGGAGTGAAGAGGCAGCAGACAGGGCGAGTGGAGGAAATGGGTTGGCGGAAAGAACACTGGCTGCTCAGAGACGAAATGAGACCCTTTGCAAACTGACAGCAGGGAAAAGGACCATATTGTCTCTTCCTGGGCGGTGCAAGGTTCCATGTTCCAGAAGAGCCCACCTTACTTTGGAGTCTTGTCTTGTAGCTCCCCAGGACTCCATGGTGTGGCCCAGCAAGTTTGTGTTTGTGGCTTCAGTGAGTGGCCTCTGCGCCTTAAGCCCACACTCAACTTGTCCCAACCCAAGCTCCCAGTCACCCTCCCCTCCCCCAGCCAGCACGGCCCCTCCCCTGCAGTCTTCCCGTCTCAGCTCCGGACAGCTGACAGGGCCTTCCTTCCAAGTGCCCCAGCAACAGGGTCTTGGGAGTCATCCTTGACTTCCTCTCACAAGCTGCCTCCCCTCCAGCAAATTCTGTTGGCTCTGCTTTAGCTGTATGCAGACTCTGACCACGGTCTAAACCACCCTCTCTCCCTGGGATTACTGCAGTAGCCTCCCAGAAGCCATCTCCGGGCTTCCGCCTGCCTGACATGGCCCAGCTCCTGGACTCAAGCAATCCTTCTGCCTCAGCCTCCCGAGTAGCCGGGACTACAGGCATGTGCCACCGTGCCCAGCTAATTTTTTTAATATATGTTTTTAGTTGGCCAATGAATTTCTTTCTATTTTAAGTAGAGACGGGGTCTTGCTCTTGCTTAGGCTGGTTTTGAACTCCTGACTTTGAGCAATCCTCCCACCTTGCCCTCCCAGAGTGCTAGGATTACAGGCGTGAGCCACCGCGCCCGGCCTCCACTGCACTTCTTGCTGGCCCTCCCTGATGCACAGAAGTACAAGGCCCAAGGAAACCAGATGAGGTCAGAGGGAGGAGTGAGATCCTGCCCCTCCTCCTGGACTGTCTCTGCCAAAGTCACTTCCCAGCTGCCCTGGAAGCCTCTCGAGGACAGGAAACACTGTGATCCTCCCAGGGAGCAACCTGCCCCACCCAGGGCTGGCCCCAGCCCCCTAGAGGGTGCTTCTCCTGCCTAGGGAAGTCCTCAGTAGGAAGCTCGTAAAAGTACTAGGACAGAGGTCAGACCCTCCCTCCTTTGCCTGGCTCTTTCCTTCTTCCCTGTCTGCCCTGCGGCCTCTCTCTGACTCTCCCCTTCCCTGCATCTCGCTGGCCTTCCCCTCTTCTTGTCCCAGATGTAGACCCCAGAAGAGCCAGCAGGAGCAGACAGATGATGAGAGCTATGGCCTGGGTCATGAAGCAAGGTTTTGGGGAGCAGATAGGCCCAGGCTGGAGGGAGGACAGTGCTGTGGGCTGACCATGTGACGGCATTCCTGGCCAGGGAGGGGCAGTGACACAGGCTCAGGCAGCACAGCGGAGCTCGTAGGGGGCCCGGGGCAGGGGAGGGCTTGGGAGGGGCCTCACCTGCGGTTGAGGCAGCAGTAGATGATGGGGTTGTACATGGTGGAGCTCATGGCCAGCCAGAAGAGTGCCAGGTAGACCTGCTGGATGAACTTGTGGCAGTAGATGTCCTTTTGGAAGCTGCCCAGGATGAAGTAGAGGTGGTAGGGCAGCCAGCAGACGGCGAATGTCACCACCACCAGCACCATGGTCTTCACAAACTGGTCCAGAGGGGTTCAAGTCACTGCTCAGCACCTGAACCCCAAGCCCCAACCCTCGGGTATGGGCGCAGGGCACCCTCGGCGCCAGCCTGGGTGGTCAGACCCCTCCTCCTCCTGCCCCAGTGCCCTGGAGCACCTGTTCCCTGGGGGTTCCTGAGCCCCCCGCCTCCAGGGCCTTTGCTAGGTCCCCCTGCCCACACTGCTGTCCTTCCTTTGAAGTCCTTGCTCCTCGAAGCCCAGCTCAATGGCCACCTCCCCCAAAAGGTGACTCGGATCCCTTTATTCACAGCGGCTCTCACTGCCTGGAGAGGGGTGGAACTCTTACTCCTAACCCTGTCCTTAGGGGAGCCCTGTGCCCACTATGGGTTCCCAGGCCTCCTCTCTCTGGGATCTGTGTCTGTCACAGCCCTTCTATCCATGGGCAGTGGAGCTCCAACCAGGGACCACAGCCTCTGCCCAGGGCCAGCTCCACACCCTCACAGCTGTCCTCTGCAGGCACGTTCCTGCACTGCCCAGCGTGCCAGTCACAAAGGGGTTGGGGGCTCCTACACACCCTGATCCTCCTGTAAGGACCTGGGTGGAGAGCCCTGGTGTGGAGCAGATGAAGGGCAGGCCAGGGATGGCATGTGGACACCAGCTCTCCATGAGGGGGGACACTCAGATGGTGTCCCATGTCCAGCTACCTCCCTTGAACTGTCCTGTGAAAAGTGCCTACTACCAGGTAAGAAGCTGGGACTGGCCTGGCTACATTACAAGATGGATCAACCCATTGTCGCCCCTGGTTGCCTGGCAGCAGGGCCTGGGCAAGGGAAAGCCTTGCCTGGGGCAGGGTATAGGTCTGGAGCACAGGACGCTATGTTGGGGACCCTGGAGGGGGAAGGGGGTGCCTGGACAGTGGGGAGAAAGGAGTTACTGGCACTTTGGGGAGAAATTGGAGATGGACTTGATGAAGCTGGATTACAATCTGGTCTCCATGATGTCTGAGGTCTGTAGTTCCAGCATTTGAGGACTGTCCTGTGATTCTATCTGGGTTATAGTTCTGTGGGGCTTCTTAAATTCAACATATATATATATATATTTGAGACAGAGTCTCCCTCTGTTGCCCGGCCTATGTGCCGTGGCGGCAGCCTAGCTCACAGCAACCTCAAACTGCTGGGCTCAAGTGATCCTTCTGCCTCAGCTTCTCGAGTAGCTGGGGCTACAGGCATGTGCCACCGTGCCTGCCTAATTTTTTTCTATTTTTAGTTGTCTGGCTAATTTTTTCTATTTTTAGTACAGACAGGGGTCTTGCTCTTGCTCAGGCTGGTCTTGAACTCCTGACCTCAAGCAATCCTCCCACCTCGGCCTCCCAAAGTGCTAGGATTACAGGGGTGAGCCACCACCGCACCTGGCCTCAACATTTTGATTCTTTAAAAAGTCTTAAGATTTTAGTATTTTATCATTCTAAGATTCTTGGAGGTATCTGAAATTTTGTGGGGCCTTAAGAGTCCTCAATTCCCCTGACATTCTAGGAAGTTCCTTTAACTTTGTATTTGGCCAAAGACCCAAAACAAACCCACCTGCTGGAAGGAAAGCGATCAGACTCTGGCCCCAGGCTTGGCACAAGGGCAAGTTCCCCAGAATCTCCGGGGCCGGCCCCGCCCCGCCCCGCCCCGCCCCGCCCCCGGCGCCCACCTTCTTCTTGGCCTGCAGGTGGCGCAGGTTGGCTCCGTGGGCCTGGTGTCCCGGCACTGCGTGCCTCCAGAGCGTGAGGCCGATGATGCTGTAGGCGACGAACATCACCACGAGGGGCACGAAGTAGATGAGGGCGATCACCACGAGGTGGTACCTGGAGGGAGAGCCAGGGGCCTGCGCAGTGGGCGGCCTGCGGGCGACTCCGATGTCCCTGGAGCCGCCCCCTGCGGGCCCGCCCTGGCCCACCTCCCAAGGCCTTGGTTTGATGCGAAGGAAAATAAAGGCAACACTGGCCAGCATGTGTGCGGAAAGAGGGCTTCCCCTGCGAGCAGGACGCCAGCACGAGACCCGCATCTTTCCATGTGTTAGACATGTGCCAAAAACAAGAAATAAATTGGAAGTAAAAAAGTTAACCAAGCAATACATTTGTTTAAAATTTAAAATGCCATTAAGCAAAAAGAAGGAAACAAAATTACTTATCCCACTCCCACCACTATTAACAGTTTGGCATATTTTCTTCCAGAATTATGTAGAACACTGGTCACCCCTTATTCGGGTTTCATTCCCCCCCCTTTCAGTTACCCAAGGTCAACTGTTTCCAAAATGGGTGAGGACAGTACATAAGATACTCTGAGAGAGACACCACGTGCACATAACTATATTACAGCATATTGTTACAATTGTTTTATTATTAGTAGTTATTGTTGTTAACCTCTCACTGTGCCTAATTCATAAAGTAAACTTTATCTTTGGTGTGAGCATATAGGGGGAAATGTATATACAGGGTTCAGTACTGTCAGAAGTTTCGGGCATCCTCTGGGGGTCTTGGAACAGATCCTACTGCATAGGTATGTGTGTGTTTGTATATAGGTGTGTGTATGTGTACAGATCTATTGGATTCTATATATAATCTGTGTGTGTCTGGATGGGTAGACAGAATGATTGCAGTTAATAAGGCTCAATCCTGTGCCAACATCCTTATCAAGGAAGGGGGCAGTGGAAACGCGCCATATTGTGCATGCGATTGTGCCATCCGCTTCCTGCTAATCCGTGTTTGGCTGGGAACATCATTCGTGCCAGCAAATGCTCTTTCATAAACCTTCGAGCAAACGGTCTGGAATCCCATTGCATGACTTCTTACCCAGTCCCCAGGAGGACACTGGGTTGGGTTGGGGCTTTTCGTTTCCTTTTGGAAAGACAGCGTAAAGGAGCTGTGTCCTCCCCAGGCCCCACGCCTCTGGTCCCGACGGACGCGGCTGCATCCTCTCTGATGAGCTGCAGGCTGGGCACTCACTCCCAGGCAGGGCAGCAGTGGGAGCCCTTGGAGCATCCCGTGAATGGGCCTGAGGCCCCTGGCTGTCGTGTCACCTTTTTCTTACTAGGACCGCTGAGGTGTTCCCGGGTCCCCTCCCCTGCCACCTCCCATTGGTCGCCTCGCTGGGCACTTTTCAAGGTGTGCCACTTCCCCGAGGGAGAGGAGCAAGTGGCTCCAGTAAATCCCTCTCCTAAAGCGCTGTGTCCGGAAGTCCACTGCTGTGCTTTTGGCAAATGTGACAATTATAAAAGGTTTAGGGGCTCCTAGGCTCCCTGAGTCTCACGTAGGATCTAGGTGGAGAGGAGAGCCCTAGAGTGGAGCAGATAAGTGCGGAGGAGGGGCAGTGAGTGCCAGGTGCCTGTCACCTTACAGGGTGTCTGAACCACAAAGACCTTGAGGATCAATCAGGCCACCTGTCTCAGCGTCCAGATGGGGAGACCGAGGCACGGGAAATCTGTGTCATATGAAAAACAGTCTACAGATTTAATCAAGACCCAATTTTCCATTCACTGAAAGTCAGAGCTGTGGGAGTCAGAACAGGGCTCTTGTCCTGCTTCTAATTTAAAGCATTATCTTGGGCAAGTCAGATCTCTCCTTGAGCCTCAGTCTCTCCATCTGTAAAAGGAGGAGGTAATCTCTAAATCCTTCCTTAGTATGAGCAGCACTTCTCTGTGGCCTCATTCCCAGGGCCATTGTGCAGAACAAGAATTCACCCTGGGCTAGGTCCCCACCCAGAGGGAGAGCCGAGGAGTTTTGGGGGTTCACCTTCTAGACCCTGCCAAAATCAGGGACACTGCCCCTAGCAGCCGGGACTGTCTTTTTTGTATTTTGATCTTGGGGGTACGTGTCCATGTTCCTGGAGAGGACATCTTTGATCTCATCAGATTCCTGTACACACACAGGACGCGAGCCTGTGAGGATGGAGCCCCCAGTTTAAATCCAGGGTAGATGCTTCCCCACCTAGGAAAAGCGACGACACGTTCTCATGCATGAAACCAGGCTTTCCACAAATGCCCTAGTCCTTTAAGAACATCGAAGTAGCATCAAGTATGGCTTTCCCTGCCCTCCTATCTTCTCCTGTTGCCTGAATCGGGTTTGGAATTCCAGTCCCCGAGAGCGGGCGGAAGCCCTCCTGTGTTAAGGTGGAGAAACACCGCCCCCCAGTGGCCAGTTCCCAAATGTTCTGCTCCCCACACTTCCCTGCGCCAGAAAGGCGGGCGCATCCCTGCATGGATACCACCTTAGGTGTGGGGAGGGGGAGGGCAGAGACCCTGGGTGGGGCCTGTCCTTGAGACTTAGCCCCTGGGAACAGGTTTCTCAGCCGAATGGCACCTCCTCTAGCACTGAAGGCCATGAGAGCAAGAGCGGCCCTCACCTGGCAGGCGCTCGGGACAGGTGAAGACCAGGTAGGGGAGGGCGTTGGGGGAGGGATGTTAAAGGAGGCTAGTGGTGGCTGTGTTGCCATGGTTACCTAGCAGCCCTCCTCTTGAAGCGTGCACATCCTCCCACGTGGGGCAGCTGTGACTTTGTCGGACTGATCTGCCACCTCCAGGTTTGTTTTCGTGTGTCTCCTATTTAAACTGCCACGTCCTGGGCACCACTTCCGTGCTGGGTGTGATGCCGAGGGCTCCACGTGCGTCATCTTGTTTGTGCTCACAGCAGCCCGTTAGCAAGGTACAGTTACAAATCCCCACTTTAGACATAGGGGAGCATGAGGGTACCCCAGCCAGGAAGGGCCAGGACAAGACTCGAAACTGGCTATGGACTCCAAAACCTCAGTCCGTTCTTTATCCTCTACTAACCAGCGGGGCACTGCTGGGACATCACAAAGCCACACCGGGAGAACCTTAGACATGGAAGCCTGGGATGGAGAAAGGACTTGCCCCAGGTCACAGAGTGGCTGGGCTATGCCCGAGTCCTTCCACCCCTGCCCTCAGCCTGTGGTGCTGCCTCAGCATGAAGCAGACACCAGGCAGCCTCCTGAAAACGTCCTTGGGCCATTTCTGCCTCAATACCCTCACCCTTTGTGGGCTAATCATATAGAGAGCCCTCCCCAAACACACGCCTATGCACACATTCCGACACATGCCTGTGCGCACACACATGTCTACAAGTACACATACTTGCACTGCACACACAGACATAAGTGGGTACAGCGTGGTGGCTCACGCCTGTAATCCTAGCACTCTGGGAGGCCGAGGCGGGCGGATTGCTCGAGGTCAGGAGTTTGAAACCAGCCTGAGCAAGACCCCGTCTCTACTAAAAATAGAAAGAAATTCATTGACCAACTATAAATATATATACAAAAAATAAGCCAGGCATGGTGGCGCATGCCTGTAGTCCCAGCTACTCGGGAGACTGAGGCAGAGGATTGCTTGAGCCCAGGAAATTGAGGTTGCTGTGAGCGAGGCTGATGCCACGGCATTCACTCTAGCCTGGGCAACAAAGTGAGACTCTGTCTCAAAAAAAAAAAAAAAGGATACACGTATCCTTATTTAAGTAGCAGAGTTAGAACATTGGACTTTGAAGAGGACTGCCTGGATTTGAATCCTTGCTCTAGACACTTACTACCTGTGCCTCAATCTTTCCATCTGAAAAATGGGAATAATATTAATACACACCCCATATTGTTAGAATTATGTAAGGTGCTTAGAACAGGCCCACACTTAGTGTTACTTTTACTATATAGGTGTACTCACAGAATCCATGCACACTCACAGACACTGTGCACACACAACACACATGCATGGACATGAAAGTGTGCACACACATGCCCCCAGAGGACTCACAGGAGGAGCGTCTTGCCCCCGCTGTCTTCGGGCCAGGCCACCACACACTTGGTGGCTCCCTGGTCCATGGTGATGGTGGAGTAGAAGCACTGGGGGAAGGCGAGGGCCAGGGCCACCAGCCAGATGCCAGCAATAACCGCTTTGGTGCTGGAGGCTGAGAGCCGTGGCCGGAAGGGGTGGACGATGGCCATGTACCTGTGAGCAGAGGGTGGCGTGAGTGGCAGGCACCCTCCCATCAGCCAGCCACCCCCACCCATCCAACAGCCCCCCAGCCCCAGGCCCACACTCTGGCCCCTTCCCCGCCCTGCTGCTGGTGTCTGCAGATGTCGGAGTCCCGCTCGGGCCTGGCCTGCAGAGAGCCAGCTGGGCTGGCGAGCCTGCAGCCACACAGCACGCTAGAACCCCAGAGCCCAGCCCGGCACCTCAGCCCACCACCTCCCTCTGGGCATGGAATGCTCTCGGATGGCCACACGGAAGTCCATCTCGGGGCCAGGACCGAGTGTCTGACGTTAGCCTGAAGCTCAGCTCCAAGCAGTGAGAAAATAAGCGGCCCTACCATAATTAGATGGTAACTGCACGCAATATTAAAATTCTCCCCTCTTATAATCTCTCTGGAATAGGGAAGCAATATAAGAGATCTCCTGGTAGTGAAAAAAAGACCTCAAAACAAAGATCAACTCCAGAAGGTCCCAAAACACACCCACTCTTCTTTTACAGCCTTGAACCACCCGTCTAGTGCAAAGTCTTTCCTTGGGTCTAACCTTAACTCTGCCCTCTTCGTTGGGTTCCACGGACCCCTTGTCCTCCAGATACATAGTTCTGGATCCTGGCCAGGCCCGGGAGGCTATTCCCTGGGTTCTACCCTAACTTGCTGTGCAACCACGGGCACATCACCAGCCCCTTCTGAGCCCCGGCAAAGCGAGAGGGCCCCCGCCCCCACCCGAGCTCCCCCGAGGCCCCTCCTGCCTGTCAGCGGCGATGGCAGTCATGGAGTAGATGCTGACGAACATGGCGGTGATGGGGAAGAGGTTCTGGAAGTAGCAGAAGGCGCGGCCGAAGTACCAGATGTTGTGGCTGGCGTAGACGAAGTTGAAGGCAGCGTTGAAGGCGGCCATGCACAGGTCGGCCAGAGCCAGGTTGACGATGAAGTAGTTGGTGACCGTGCGCATCCTCCGATGGGCCAGGATGATCCAGATGACCGTGGCATTGCCCGTCACGGCCACCAGCACCAGGGCCAGGTAGGCTGTGGCCCACAGTGCCAGCTGCCAGCCGGGCATGGAGAAGGATGTGATGCCGGTGGTGTTGCTGTCCAGGCCAGACGAGCTGTTGGTGTCGGTCACAATGGCACAGTCCCCCATGGCTCCCTCTGGGTCCAGGACAAGGCTCCCCCCGGCTTGCTATAGGAGAGAAGCCCCTCCGGTGCGAGCGGGTGGGAGTCGGGGCAGCAGATGCGAAGCGAGGCGGTTCAGGGGGCTGGGCCGCGCTACGGCTCAAGGGGGGTGAGCTGGGTTGAGCAGAAAGCCCAGTCCAGAGCCATTGTCATTTCAGATTCCCTCGTCCCAGCCAGGCTTCCCGAATGTCACGTGGAAATCTAGAACTCAGATCACAGTGTCGGAGCAGGAAACGTCCTCCTAAATCATCGGTTCAACCCCTTCCCTGAAGAGATGCAAGACTGCAAGAGGGGACGCCACCGGCCCAGGTCACTCAGTAAGTTGGTGACATGTCAGGACTCGAACCCAGGTCCCTCCTAATGCAACTCAGGAAACATTCCGGATCAGAGGAGCGTGCAGCGGGAGTCGACTGCGCAGCAGCTGTCTCTCCAGGATTTGTGGCGCGGGGCTGGGGGCCACGACGTGCTCACGACTCTGCCAGCTGCCAGCTCTGGGCGGCTGCTTCCCCGCTGCTCTCCGTGCAGGGCAGGCGAGGGCCTTGGCAGAGGTGCTGCCCACTCCCGAGGAGGGGCTTAGGCTCCCGCCCTTGTCCCTCCCCCTGCGTGGATGGCTCGGCCTCATCTCCCGAAAGATTTAGGACTGGCACTGCGGCAGGGAGAGACCAGGGGAGTGGGGCTGGCACGCCGCAGGGCACAGTCTTTGGCGGGTGTTTACTTTCAGCCCGGGGCAGGAGCAAAGTCTAAACAGTGATTCCGAGCTCAGACTGAGTTTGAGCTTGGCTCGGTGACTGCAGGCAAATTAACCTTTCTGAGCTCTGGCTCCCCCATCTCAAAAATACAGGGCAGAAACAGTGTGCATCTCACAGAACATCTGTGAGTTTAAAATGAGATAATGTGCATGTATTTAGCACAGGGGTTGGCATATAAAAGCCATGCCAGGATTTGTGGCCCCAAGGGAGGACCCCCCCATAAACAGCTCAGGGCTCTGTAGGAGAGAGAAGACAGAACCCAGAGAATTTTTTTTTTTTTTGATTGAGAAAGGGCTCGCTCTTTTGCCCAGGCTGGAGTGCAGTGGCATCATCATAGCTCACTGCAACCTCCAACCCTTGGGCTCACGTGATCCTCCTGCCTCAGCCTCCCGAGTATCTGGGACTAACAGGCATGCAATATCACACCCAGCTAATTTTTTAATTTTTTTGTAGAGACAGGAGTCTCACTATGTTGCTGAGGCTGGTCTCAAACTCCTGGCCTCAAGCAATCCTCCCATCTCGGCCTCCCAGAAGAGGTTTTGCTGCCTCTTCTGTGAACCCCAGCAAGGCTGGAGTTTTAACCCCTAAGAAGCTGTTCCGGCTTTGCCCAAAGATAGACCTGCTCTTGGTCATGGACGGCGTGCACGTGTGTGCAGCTGTGATGGTGTTTCCGAGGGACTGTGTGTGTGTGTGTGTGTGGCTGATGTGTGCAAGCTCACAGCCACGCGTGAGCCTGTGCACACCTGTTGGTGTGTGTGCCCTGAAGGCAGGGCACCAGGAAGCCCCGCACAGTGGCCTCCTGGCCCCAAGTTTCTGCCTGGCGCAGCCTGGCTTTCTCACGGCTGCGCCCCCTCCCGCCAGCCGCCCTGCGGCTTCTCCCCCCACGCGTCATTTCCCCCCACGTGGCCTCCGGCCTCCTTGGCCGAGCTGGGAAAGACCTTTAAAGGTTTCCAGTGTTGAAAAGAGTATGCTGCCTGCGGAATCCCAAATCAAAACAATGCTAAACTGTAATTCAGGAAACTTAAATGTATCCTGAAATCAAAGGAGCTTCTTTCTAGGTTTTCTGATCATGAACTTCTGGCTAAGTTCATCAATGATCAATATTGAAATTATATCTATTGTGTGGAGTCCCTGCTGCGCTGACGTGCTAGGTCTAGTGGGAATCCCGCCCTTGCCCTTGGAAAGGGGGTGCTTCCCGGGCCCCTGACCCTGCTGTGGGTGCATGTACTGGGGGGCCCTGGGACTCTCGCCCCGCCCCAGAGCCAGCTCCGGACAGAGCTGGCTCCAGCCCTGGCCCAGCCATGGGGCAGAGACCTTGTCCTCTCTGGAGCAGGCCACCATCGTCTGTTTGGACTTTGGTCCCTTGCTGAAGGGTCTCTGTCTTTGATCACTCAGTGGTGGCAGCAGCAGCAGCAGCAGCAGCAGCAGGACTTTGGGGCTTGTTTCTGTCTCATGCCTGTCTGGCCGGCATCCTACAGGGCGAGATGTGTAGAAATAAGAATGTAAACACAAGACAACCTTCTCTCTTTTCTGTCCTGGCCTCCTACTCCCAGGCAGCTGGAATTCGTTGAGCGTTAGGTGCAAACACAGAGCAGGGCTGGGGTGCCTCAGAGGGTGTCACCAGTCACAGAGGCCCAGAATAGTACAAGCTCCCCGACGCCACCCCCAACGTCCCACCGCCTCCACTGTATATGTAATGGAGATTATATTTTGGAGCTATTAAATCTGAGTTTTTATTTCCTCCTTAAATCATAGCTCTTGCAGCTTTCCAACTATGAGCCAGAAGGCTTGTAGCCTTGTGGAAGGACAGGGTGGGGCCGCCCAGGACAGAGGCGTTAGTGATCAGCTTTGCTGCCCAGAGCTGGCCTCCTGAGTCCGTAGCTAGACCGTGGTCTTGAAGGCCAGTCTTCGTTAAAGAGAATGAAATATTCTAAATTCCTACAGCTCCTATGGACACATCAAGATTGGAGGGTTTGGCCAGGGGCGGTGGCTCACGCCTGTAATCCTAGCACTCTTGGAGGCTGAGGCGGGCGGATTGCTCGAGGTCAGGAGGTCGAAACCAGCCTGAGCAAGAGCGAGACCCCGTCTCTACTAAAAATAGAAAGAAATTAATTGGCCAACTAATATATATAGAAAAAATTAGCCGAGCATAGTGGTGCATGCCTGTAGTCCCAGCTACTCGGGAGGCTGAGGCAGGAGGATCGCTTGAGCCCTGGAGATTGAGGTTGCTGTGAGCTAGGCTGACGCCACAGCACTCACTCTATCTAGCCTGGGCAACAAAGTGAGACTCTGTCTAAAAAAAAAAACCAGATTGGAGGCTTTGCTCATCAGAGTTTGTGTGTGGGATGTCTGAGTGAGGCAGGAAATGGAGGGGAAGGGCTGCCCCATGGCTGTGGTCGGGACCGCTGAGCCGATGGTGCAGGTTGGGGACCTCCAGAAAGCAGGTGCTGCTCCGAGTCTAGCGTGCATGGGGGCTGTTGAGCAGGGAGCTGCCACCGGAGTGGACGCCTGGGGAGGGCAGGGAAGGAGGGATGAAGGACGGACGAAGACGTGGAGCTGGAATGCTAGCCCCACAGCAGCCTGGCGGGGCCCCAGGGCCGCTTGGAACTAGAATGGGCCTGTGCTGGGCAAAAGTAGCCCGGCCTTTATGTCTCCACATTGGTCGTTGGATGTGGGCCACCCCAAGGAGGAGCGTGACCGTTGTCAAGGCAGCTGTCCTCGGCTGAGGCCAGGCCTGCAGGGGGTGACAGCTGAACCCTGTGCTTGGACAGCACGCCCAGCAGCTTGGAGTGGGGTCTGGACGTACAGGACAGCGTCCACCCAGGCGGAACAGCAGCGCCCCCTGCCGATGGGCGTGTGCTCGCAGGAGCGCCTGGCTGATGGCTGGAGCTATGACCTCCAGGCTAGACGCTTGGAGACTAGGGTTGGGGGCAGGATTCTTTTTCAGGGAGTTGGAGGAGAAACAGGTGGGAGGAGCTGCGGGGTATGAGGGGAGTGGGCTCCAGGAAGCACTGTGGGTTGGGTGCCCCTTCAACAGTGTCTGAGAGGCCGGGCGAGGTGGGTCACGCCTGTAATCCTAGCACTCTGGGAGGCCAAGGTGGGCAGATTGCTCAAGGTCAGGAGTTCGAAACCAGCCTGAGCAAGAGCGAGACCCCATCTCTACTAAAAATAGAAAGAAATTATCTGGACAACTAAAAATATATATATATATATGTATATATATATATATAAATATTAGCCAGGCATGGTGGTACATGCTTATAGTCCCAGCTACTTGGGAGGCTGAGGCAGAAGGACTGCTTGAGCCCAGGAGTTTGAGGTTGCTGTGAGCTAGGCTGATGCCACAGCATTCTAGCCCAGGCAACAGAGCAAGACTCTGTCTCAAAAAAAAAAAAAAAAAAAAAAAAAAAAACAGAACAAAACAGTGTCTGAGAGATGCCTTTAGAAGTTGCCTGACTATGTGTCTGGCCTGGAGGCTGCTCTGGGTCCTGGCTTCAGTGGGTCACATACAGCATGACGGGACATTGGGGCTGTGGGTCGCCTAGTTGCCAGAGTGGTGCCAGGAGGTGCCAGGTGGTGGCAGGAGGTGGCAGAGGACAACAAGGACAATGTAGTGCGCTTTTTATCCAGCTAAGTGAAGCCAGTTTAAAGGATCATCCTTCATTCTAGGACTATGCACTTCCTGCTTTTGGGGGTAAAATGTCCTTTTGTGAAATAATGGTGATGGCAGATGGTAGTTGCTAACCTGGGTTTGCTTTTTCTTTAAAATTCCTTACTTGGTGGAAGCGCCCAAGAGGGGAAGGGCATGACCAGATCCCATCCCCAGTGAGGGGGCCACAACCCCAGTGGCTTCCTTCTGTCCTGTACAGCCTCTACTGGTCTGTCAGCCTCTTCTCTCTGGAGGCCCATCAGAGCCACCTGTCTGGTCACTTCCCTGTCACACCGAAGAGGGGCTCTTCAGGGCCTGGATAGTGTCTTGTTTGTGTCCAGTGTCTAGGAGAGTGACCAGCTCCTCATCAGTGTCCTATAAATATTGGCTGATTGAAAATGATATTGAAAATTATCATTTTCAATAAATATTGGCTGATTGAAAATGATATTGAAAATTATATTTTTTCAAAATATTGAAAATCTGACTTGAGTGAGGGATGGGAAACCATATATATATATATATATATATATATATCATCTATTTAGATCTATTTCACATAGACACAGATATGAAAGTTTTAAAGTAATGGTGGGATTTTAGGCACCTTTGAGTGGGCAGGGCAGAAAATGCCTGGCCTGCTGGCACATAGTAGATGCTCAAGAAATGTCAGAAGCATAAATGAATGACAAATGATGAGTAAAGCTTAAAATATCCTGTCAGGGTTGAAGGGGTAGCATTCTTATTTTCACAGGCCTGAAAGCGTAAGGTAAAAGAACATCTCGCCAGCCTGGGCAACATAGGGAGACCCTGTCACTATAAAAACTAAGAAGAAAAACAAAACCAAACAAAACCAAACAAAAAAAATCTCTTCATAAGTTGAGCAGGGCTTTGGAGGAGGATATCAGGGTCTCCATAGCATTACTGGATCTATTCCTCATAGATAGCCCCCCTTTGTCCGTAAACCAGAGGGCCCTGGGCCAGCCCTTCAGGAGATGAGTCTGTGGCCCGGGCACCAGTGGCCTAGAATTTGAGACCTCGGCTGGGAGAGGGAGAGGCAGCCTCTGCCAAGAGCTGGGCTGCTGCCGACTTGTTTAAACACTGAGAGCGGGCTGGGCCAGCGCCTCGCCCTGAAAGCCTGAAGTTTATCTAGCTGCAGAGGAGAGGCAGGAGAGTTTACATCTCCCGTGGTCCTGGCACACACAGAGCTCTGGGCTCTTAAGACGTGTTCATTTCTCAACCTCGGGCTGCGGTAAAAGCTGCCCATCTATGGCTGGCGGAGGAGGAAGTGGGTGAGGCTCGTCTTAGGAGGCGATGCTCTGAGAACTGCTTGCTGGTTGGGTAGCAGGGAGTCATCCCAGAGCCAGCCTGGGTACTGCAGACCGAGGGGACTTGGTGTCTGCCCAGGGAGTTGGCAAATGTGAAAACAAGAGCTTGGACGCAAGTGAGGACAGGGGTTGGCAAAGGCTTGGCCCCTCCGCTGAAAGGCTCCAGTCCTGCCCCTCGTGGCTGTCTCTCGCTGAGCAGGTACTCCGACGACCAGCCTAGAGTTAGCAGAAAGGCTCACATCTCTGCTTCAGGAAGCTCCTGGCCA